GCCCCCGACAGGGAGGCATGATATGGGACGCACGCCACCCTGGCCTGAGCGGAGCGGCCGCCGCGCTGCCCAAGGCCAAGGCCCAGAGCCCCGAGGACGTGAGCTGCAGAGTCGAAGGGGGCGGCGCAGTGGGGGATGGGGTCCGCTGCCAGTGGCGGGGGGCAGGGCGGCACAGCCAGTAAGAGTAGCCGCAGGGGGGGGGGGTCATGGAGACAAAGGGGGGGGGAAGGGGGGAGGACGGCGACGGGGAGGATTGTGAGGCGCAGGGAGGGAGGGCGGAGGAGACGGTGGGAGAGGAGGACGAGCACCAGTAGGAGGGGCAGTAGAAGGAGGGATGAGGCTGATACTGATGCGGCGGATGAGGCGTGGGAGGGGGCGAGGAGAAGGACGAGGAGGTGGAGGAGGAGGAGGAGGAGGAGGAAGAGGAGGAGAAGGATAATGAGAAGAAAGAGCATGATGAAATGAGGAGGATGAACCAGATCAGAAGGGGAGGAGAAACAGGATCAGGAGCACGATCACTATATGTAACGAGGAGACGTTGAAGGATAAGAAGGAACAGCAGAAGGAGAGGGCGAGGGATAAGGATGGGGGGCAGAAGAGGACTTCTGAGAAGGCAGCAGCGGCAGCAGCTGAAGGCGTAGGAGAAGGATGACGAGGAGGAGTGGAATTCTTCGATCGCAATACTTCCCCCCTCTCCTTTTTCCGACCGCTGCACTCGAACGCAACCCTCACCGATCAGCGCTCCTCCGACCGACCCCATCCAAGCCCTCGTCCGCTGGCCCCTCAGACCCCCATCCTCAACCGCACCTTCCCTGGGGGCTCGGGCGAACAACGCGACGGAGGTCTAAGCACAGCCACGCCGCTGGCCCCTGCACACCCCCCTACCTCCCACCCTCCTCGCTGGCTGCGGCACGCACGCCTCCTGGGACCCTCCTTGCCGGCTGCAGCATGCGCGCCCGCGGGGGCCTGCCGCCCTCCCTGTCTCTTCTGTGGCAGCGCGCAGCAGGAGTCCACGCGGGGTGAGAACTGCAGCAGCTCGTGCCCGCCAGGGCCAACGCCGCCCCCCCCCAGACTACAACAGCCTGGGCAGCAGGCGGCTCGAATGGTTTGCCCTTGCTGCCCTGCTGGCACCCCGCCTCCCCCTTTCGCATCGCACACTCCATCCCCTCCCGTCCGCCCTCGCCGTCCCTGTCCCTCGACCCCTGGCCAGCCTTTCCCTCCCTCCCTCCCTCCCTTCTCCATCATTCACCCCTCTTCCCTCTGCCCGCCTCCGCCCTCCCTCCTCCCACCCCCATCTCCTCAGTCTTCCTCCTTTCCAGGCCTGCCTCCTCCCCCATCCCTTCTGCCTGCTCGCCTCCCTCCTGCCCACATCCCTCCTGCCCCCTCCCTCCTGTTCCCCCCCCCCTCTCCTGCCGCTCCCACGCCCTCCCACCTCTGCCCTCCCCAGCGTCCGCCCCACACCCTCACACCCATACTCCATCCTGCCCTCCCGTCTGACTCCCGCCTCCTTCGTCCTCCTCCCCCCCCCCCCGCTTCTTCCGCCCCCCCCGCCCCCCCCCCCTCCCCCCCCCCCCCTCCCCACTCCCCCGCGGCATACCCTCTCTCCCTCCTCCCCCCCTGCCCCCTCCCAGCTCCTCCTCCCTCATCCTCCTCCTCCTCCCTCCTCCCCTCCCTCGCCTCCTCCTCGCCCTCCTCCTCCTCCTCATCCTTCCCTCCCTCCTCCTCCCTCCTCCTCCTCCTCCGCATCCTCCTCCTCTACTCTCCTCTCCTCTCCTCCTCCTCCTCCTCCCTCCTCCTCCTCCTCCTCCTCATCATCCTCCTCCCTACCTCCTCCTCCTCCTCCTCCTCCGCCTCCGCCTCCTCCTCCTCCTCCTCCTCCTCCCTCTCCTCCTCCTCCCTCCTCCTCCTACTCCTCCTCTCCTCCTCCTCCTCCTCCTCCTCCTCCTCCTCCTCCTCCCTCCTCCTCCCTCCTCCGCCTCCTCTTCCTCCTTCTCCAACCGCTTGCACCACCAGGTGTGCACGGCTTCGTGCCCATGCCACCCTTCCCACCGCCACCTGCCCTCTCCCTCCTACCTTCCCATCGGCTCCCCGGGCCCCCGCGTCTCCGGCGTGCGGCCCTCTCTCCGAGGGGGGGGGGCGCAGACGGCGCGGCCGGCCAATCCCGGCCGTGCTGGCACTGTGCGCCAGCACAGCACACTGAATCACGATGCCGCTGCCGTCGCCAACAGTGTCTACGAGTCTATGCTGCCATTGTCGCCTTCGTCAACGCGTCATCATCAACGTCATCGTGGACGCCGCCGTCGCGGCCGTCAACGGTCGTCGCATTAGCCGGCGCCGCGTCGCAACACATGTTGCCCGTCGTCATCGTCACCGTCACCACTACCAAAGCGCTCGTGAACAATGTCGCCACTGATCCCGTACTAGTGCGGTCGCACGTATGCCGTCGATATCGCCCTGTCTAGCTTGACCGCTCTCGCAGTCGCGATCGCCGCGCATCGTGCGTACATCGTGCTACCCGTTTCCAATGCCGTTCCTTCCAAGCGGCTGCAATGCCGTTCCTTTCCGAGCGGCCCTGGTCCCAGGATGGCCACCACGCACCGACATGCAGCCGTCCCTGTCAGAGCTGACTAGCTGGCCATGTACACTGCTCTGTACTGGGAGAGGGCGGGGGATGAAGGCGACCCGCACATGAGCTCGCCAGTGGCAGGTAGGCTCTTGGGATGTCCTGGATGTAAGACGAGGCCAGGACAAGGATCATTTCTGGTAAATCGGTCGAGAATATCTGAAATCTGGCGGCTCTGGATGATATCTCGGGCGCCGCGGCCATCTCATAGCTTTTCAGCCTTCTCAGAGCGTTCTGGAACGCTGTGAAAGCGTTTCGGCACGCTCTGCCTTTAGGGCGTTGGTGGTCTAGGGAGGCTTCTCTTCCAACCCTGCCTTCCCCTTCGGGGAGGGTTTTAACATTGTTCCCTATTACTATACACACCCTCCCCCACCCGGCTGGCGGCCAACCCAGAACCATGCCGACCCCATGCGGGCCACCCTCCCACCATCCCTTTCAAAAAAACACACACTCTGCCTCCACATTTGGAGCAGGCGCGGCCCACCCGATGCGCCCCCCCACCATCCCTGTCAACAAACAATACAAACTACACTTTGGGGCAAAGTCTTAATCATGTTCGTGCGGCCCGCGAGCACTTTGTATTGTTTCTGACAGGGACGGCGGGGGTGTCAGCATAATCCCTGCTGCGCGCAGGGGTACCATCCCTTACAAAACAAAAACCAGATAACATGCAACTCGCGGCAGAATCTGGATCATGCGCGGCCACCCCGCGATCACCGTCAAGTGGTTTTCGACAGGGACGGCGGGGGTGGTGGCGCGTGGCCTGCTGCGCGCAGGCCCACCAGCCACAATGATGGGCATTGGTTTTCGACAAGGATGGAGGATGGTGGGGGTCGACATGTTTCCCGATGTGTGCTGTCGCGTGCGCAGGCGCTCCTGACGCACTCTGCACGTGCCCACGTGCCCCGAACGTGGCGCACCTGGTGCGGCCGGAGTGTGCGGCACTCCTGGTGCACCCGGAGCACGCGGCGCATCTGGCGCACCAGGCGTGCCTGGCACGCTCGAGCCCCCGGCGTGCCTGGCGCGCGTGGCGCCCCTGGCACGCGTGGTGCACCTCGCCCAAGCGTCGCGCACCTGGGGTCGGCCTTGGTTCCCAGTAGCTGCCCATCCAAAGAGGACCGCTGAACATGCTCAGGCTCGGGTGCTAGTTATGTGCTGGGAGGGCGGGTGGGAGTGAGCTGGACGGCTTGCGGGCGGGTGGGTGGCTTGACCCCTCACCCTACCCCCTCCCCTGGACCTGGGCGGGGCGCCCCGCGACGCGTTGGAGCGCCAAAAATTGTCCAAGACGGCTCCGAGAGGGTCTCGGAGAGCCCAAGATGACCTCCAAGATGGCTCGAGATAGCCCAAGATCGCTCAAGATGGCTTCTAAGATACTCCAAGAGGTCCTGAGACCGGCCCAAGACGGCTCCGAGAGGCCTCCGAGACTCCCAAGGAGGCCCGCAAGAAGCCCAAATCGCTCAAACATCCAAGGAAAATCAATGATTGTTGCTTTCTCGCCTTTTTGTCCCCGATGGCCCTCCGAGACCTCAAGATGGCTCCAAGATGGCCCAAGAAGGCCCCAAGAGAGGCCCAAGAGAGCCCCAAGACGGCCCAAAGAGCACCCAAGAGCGCTCCAAGAGCGCCCCAAGAGGCGATTTTAGGCGATCTAGTGGCTAATCAAGTAGCCCTCTTTTTGGGGGGTCGATGTCTTCCAAGATGGCCCCCAGAGACGCCCAGGAGGCCCCAAGAGACCCCAAGATGGCCCCAAGAGGCCTCCAAGAGGCCCTCCAGAGACCCCCAAGAGGACCCCAAGAGGACCCCAAGCGGCCCCAAGAGGCCCCCCGAGACACCCAAGACGCCCAAGAGCCCCCTGGACCGCCAAAGGACCCCCAAGACGTCCCATGAGGCCTCAAAGAGGCGCCCAAAAGACATCCCAAGAGACTCCGAGAGGCGTCCAAGAGGCCCCTGGCCATTTTGCTCGCCCTCCTCCTCCTTCCTCCTCCTCCTTCTTCTCCTCATCCTATTCATCATCCTCCTCCCTCCTCCCCCATCCATCCAAACATCCGTCCATCCATCAATCCATCCATCCATCCACCCATCCATCCTCCTCCTCCTCATTCGAATGGTTCGGCTCCCCCTCTTTGCTCCTACACTTCCCTGGTCACCTCAACTCGCCTGGGCGTCGTTTCTGGATGGGCTGGTGGGGATTGGCGAAGCGGCAAGAATTCTGGCAAGTCGATCGAGAATATCTGAGATCCGGCGGCTCTGGAGAATGCCTCGGGCGCCGCGGCCTTCTCGGAGCGTTCCAGCCCTCTCAGAGCCTGCTGGATCGCTCTGAGAGCGTGCCAGCACGCTCTGGGACGGATTTCTCCTCGTCCTGGCCCCGTCCGAAGATGTCCTCCGCTTCTCGCTGCGGCGGCGGCCGCGCTGATCTCAACAACCACTGGGGCACGAGGGACGTGCGCGTGCGGGGGCCGGCGGCGGAGGCCTCAGGCCTTCGAACCAACACGCTGATAAAACCGGCGCGGCGCGCTGGCCGCGAAAAATGGGCGCCCCGGGAGCGGCTGCCTGGCCGCTCCCTGCCGCTGCCCCCGGCCCGCCTCCCGCTCAACGTTGCCCCCCACTGAGGCCCCAATCCCTGACGTCTGCCCCTTCCAGCCTTGCCCTGGACGAGGGGGAAGAGGACAACAGAGCAAGAGGGACAGGAGAGGAGGAGCAGGAGGGGTGAGGAGGAGCAGGGGGGCAGGGAACAGGAGGAGGAGGAAGGATACGGTCCTCCTCGTCGCCGTCTCGCGACTGCTAGATTTGCCCCCCCCAGCAATCCAGGTGTTCCTTTGCTCGTTCCTCATCATCCTCTCCCTGGTCGTCCTCCTGCTAGCGTCTGCTCCTCAACAACATCAAACTCCTACACTTGCTCCTCCCCCTGCTGCTACTGCCTCCCCCCCTCCCCCCTCGCCGCCCTCCTCCTCCTTCTCCTCCTCCTCCTCCTCCTCCTCCTTCTCCTCCTCCTTCTCCTCCTCCTCCTCATTCTCCTCTCCCTCCCTCCTCCTCTCTCTCCTCCTCCTCTCCTCCTCCTCCTCCTCTCTCCTCCTCTTCTCTCTTCTCGATTAACATTATTATATTCTCCTCCTCCTCCTCCGCCTCCTCCTCTCCTCCTCCTCCTCCTCTCCTCCTCTCCCCTCTCCTCCTCCTCCTCCCTCCTCCTCCTCCTCCTCCTCTTCGTCTTCTTCTTATTATTATTATTATTCGTCTTTTTCTTCTTCTTATTATTATTATTATTCTTCTTCTTATTCTTATTATTCTTCTTCTTCTTATTCTTCTTCTTCTTCTTAGTATTATTTATTATTATTATTATTATTATTATTATTATTATTATTATTATTATTATTATTATTAATATTAGTATTATTATTATTACTATTATTATTATTACTATTATTATTATTACTATTATTAGTATTTTTATTTTTGTTATTATTATTATTATTATTCGTATGCTTCTTCCTTTTCTTCTTCTTCCTCCTCCTCCTCCTCCCTTCTCCTCCTCCTGCCTCCCCCCCCCATCCGGGCCCCGCTGGTGGTCGCTCCACCGACCGCGGCAGCCCGACCCGCGGACCGCCGAACCCACGCGGGGGTGGCGCATGGCCCTCGGAGCCCTCCACGCAGGCAAGGCGGCGCCTCAGCAGACCTCGGCGAGCTTGCCGCACGCGCGCTTGGACAGCTCGCCGACCTCCAGCCGGGGCGGCTCCGCCCCTCCCCTCCCAGGGGGCCAGGGAGGAGAGGAGCAATGCAGGAGGGCCGGCCGGGGAGGAGGGCGGAGGGAGGAGGGAGGGGAGGGCGGCGGAGGGCGGCGGAAGCGGGAGGACGATGCGGGGGAGGGAGATGGGGGAGCAGGAGGAGGAGGATCAGGAGGAAGAGCATAAGGAGCAGGAGGACGGAAAGCGAGAAGACGATGGAAAGAAGGGGGGAAGGAGGAGGACGACGACGAGGAGGGGCGATAACGACGAAAACCAATCGAAACTGTTCGCGGGCTGCTGCTATGAGAAAGGGAGGAACAGGAAGACGGGGAAGGATACAGCATCAGGGAGCAGGAAGGACGGAAAGAAGGAGGAACAGGGACGATAAACAAGGACAACCAGCATACGTAAACTCGACGTAAACCAAACGCGCGCGTAGCTGCTGGTAGGATTTCACCACCTGTGTTCTGCACAGATTTCGAGAACATGGGCTCGACAACGACTTGCCCCGCACGCGTAGCTGTTGGAAGATGCCAAGTTTGGGGCAGCACTGGGGAAAGAGACTTCGCGAGCGAGGTCACGGTTTGGGAGAGTAGCCCCGCTCCAGACGCGCAGCTTTCGACCATGCTCCTGTTTACGCCCTCTCCACGCTGGAGCGATTCGAGCGAGAGTTCGATGCCGAAGAAATTACGCCCTGAATCGAAGCGGATACTGCGCACGCCAAGGCACAGCGCGGCGGCGTGATCGATGGTCCTGCGCGCGCGAGCGCCCCAGAGCGCCCAACAAACGCCTCGCGCTAGAAGCCGCAATCACGGCGCCCGCTAAAAGGTCTGGGCTCGTGGCCTCACGCCGCATGTCGCGGGGGCATCTCGCGCCGGTTTTTTTTGCGCCATAGTTTGTGCAACAGTTCGTCTGGAGAACATGCCGTGTGCGCCCAATGCTTCAGCACAAGAGATAGAGAGAGAGAGAGAGAACAACACTTCTGGCAGAATCATGGAATGTGGCATGTTGTGTTGACGACAACGCGGGCGGCAAGCGGGGTTGCCGACGCCCGGCGCTGATCGCCCTCGTCGGGTACCTTGGGGAGCTGCCGGATGCGGTGCGCAGCCATCCCCGCGAAGTCTGCCACGCTGCTGCCAGCGCAACGCAAGCCCCCCCCCA